ATAATCTATTCAAACCAGATGTAGTGAATGTAAATTCTAAAAAATCTATTGTCCATTCTCTGATCTCAAGCATTGAATCTTTTAAAAATCCACAAATTATTTGGAATAAGCCGGGTTCAAAAAGATGTTTTTCATTTTCTATTATTTGTTGAAATGATATTAAAGCTTCTATTCTTAATTGTTGATCTTTTTTAATATCAGAAGCACGATCGAATAAAACATTTATTCGATTATCCTGAACTGAATATGTTTCCATTTTTTCTTTATACGAAAAAAATTTTTTAGAATGAGGTGATTTATGTTTGACACAGTCTACTCCTATTTATATATTTGTTTGATCATATGATGTTCGGATTAGTCCATTTTAGTCAATTCAACACGATTAATTCACGTGTTTAGTGTTACAATTAATATGGTGTAACTGCACTACACAAAAATACAAAACATAATCCTAAGTTAGAATCGATTTTCCGAATAATAATTAGCAGTGAAAATTCAAAATCCTTTGCCGGTCAATTTGTACCATTATCGAAGTTACATTCACTAAATGGCAACAAAGAGTCAAAACTATTTACTAATATCATGAGATGTTATGGATAAGACAATCAGGGTTTAAAAACAAAATTATGTGGTACAAAATACTATTTATGTGATGTGATGTGTGAATATCGAATGATGATTTGAATTTTTAGCGTTAGCGTTAATATATAATTTGTAGATTTTATTATTTATTGTATTTCTGTTCTAGAAATATTACAATGTAGAAAAGAACAAATAAATTTTTATTGGTATTTTATTATAACGTTACAAATTTTATATGCAAACTTAAATTAAGATTACAGTATCGGTATACGTAGTGATTTTGTAAATTCTACAATACAAATAGAGATGAAATGCATATGGCTAGTATTAAGTAGGCTGGCCAACATTATGCAAGCTGGCTCGAATTATGAAAACCTTTAACAACCCTGTCAGAGTTGGAACCCGAAATAAAACACAACTTCATTACTTCTTTTTCCATTTAACTATAATACTACAAGTATTGCAACATCTTCTACAAATCTAAATTCTCTCGACCAACAAATTCCAATCACTGCTCACACTCATCACATTCATACTTGCTTAGTTTGTCACAAAAAAAATATTCCTTATGTCTTCCTTTCAAATAACAAACACTCTCTCCAATCTAAATCTATTCTTAAAGGCTTTCTGTTCACTCTGAATATATTAATAATATTCAAATCAAACCTTTCTCTCAATCCAAACCTCTAACATTAACCTAACAAAACACCTTTTACTTTATCAAATTTAGCCACATGCCTGCTGACCAAAAAAAGGGTTTTACTTAAATCTGTCCTTTCTAAACTCTCAAAAAAACTTCCTCCTAAAAGAGATACTTTAAACAATCTTGATTGGTTTAAAACTTTTCCTATAACTGAGGAAATGGAACAATACACTCAACTCAATATACAAGTTTCGATTAAACTTTTCAATTTCTTAAAACCAAATCTCATTAACTTTACACTAGGAAAAATTCTTAAACCAGCATCTGGAAATACTTCTGCCTCCAAGAGCAACTTTAAATATCTTATTAAATTAATGGCAGGTCAATGCCCTAACTTTCTTATTAATCTCATTTACAATGCAAATCCAAAAATTGACAAGGCTACTACAATCCCTTTCGATATCATTCTTTCAACTTTTAAATCGCTTTTATTCAAATTTACAACAATTCTTTTCACTAAACTTAACTACCAAAAAATTCTATCATCCTTCAATACAATTTTCCCTTATACTATTCAAAACCATAACTTATTTACTATCAATCTTGCTAGAATCTACCTCTTTTTCCATGATGATTGCAAAACTATTCATGCCAACAAATTCTTCGAAGATCTTAATATTAAATCTAAAAGATTTCAACTACACTACTTCATTTTAGAAGATAAAATTCATTAACCTCTTTTTCAAATACAACACAATAACAAATTCAATATTAACATCTCTCTCAATATTCCTAAACAAGAATTTACAGAAACCTTTAGGATTCCTTCACTAAAAAAACACAAAGAAGATCTTGACAAATAGTTTGAACTATTTTTCAAAATTTATAAATGCCAATTCCCAACAATTGACCAAACTAAAATCTACAACTATATCAAACACGAAATTATACTTAACCTGGCTAAAGCTTGTAAAAAACTTCTCCCAAAAGATTTCAAAATAATCTCAATTAAATCTCTTTGCGAACATACTGTTTTATATACCAAAGCTGCTCTCTTCTATATCCATACCTGTACTGGCAAGAACTACAATATTTTGTCTAATGATACAGAACATACTTTCAAGAATATTTCAACCTTATTCTTTGACCAATCTTTTACTAAATTTTTTGCAACTCCATCTTCTGATCCTCCTAAGGATAGAGTTAGATGGATACATCCTGAACTTAACATCTTACAGTTTGAAAAAGACCAACCAAATGAAGCATCATTTCAAATCCCTACACCAATTGCTCTATTTCGCAAACTAGCAAACTTTGCTGAACAAGAATTTGTTAAAGAAAATAATACTGCAACTAGCATCAAAAGACATATTTACTACTTTTATACTTACCTCAAAGCTTTTCTCTCATCTGCAGCTATCAACGAAGGAATATCTACTCTTAACAATCATTAAGTAATTCAAAAAACAATTTCTAAACCTACAAACACCCACCACCTCATTAGAATTCTAACATACTTCTATCTACTTCAACAACTAAAGCTTTCTATTACACAAATTTCTGCTGAATACAAGGACAGGTTTTATCATCAAGCAAAAAAAATTATCTTTGAGAAACATAATATCCAATTCAATACAATCGCTATTAATGATGATATTTTATTCAATATACCATCCTCACCTTCAACTAAAAACAAAAACACCAAACAAACTTATACTAACAAACTCAATTTCAACATCAATTCGACAACATCCTATAGCCCTTTTCAATAAACTCTTCTGTAGATAACATTGATACAACTGCGACTTCTAGAATAATGATATCCTCTACTAACTGTAGGCCATTTCTAAAAGAGAATGTAATAAGTGAACAGGTAGAAAAGTCTATTTACATGGAAGACCAATATCATAATGGCCAGACCCAACGTATAAGACAGACTTTGGACTCTTGTATAACTATAAAAACTGAGTATACGGCAAGTGATTCTACAGAAGTTAATTCTCTTCCTTCAGTTACTAATACTTCACCCCACACTGAAGAAATTACCTGCTTTAACATCTTCCTTCTAAATCACAATCTGCCTCAAATAAATAAAAATATAACTCTGGGGTTCTTTATAAAATATCTTCAAAACCTATTATTCTCACACCCACTCAAAATTTCAATTAACAAACAAAAAACAGAAACTCATATTTATACTAACACAAATGAACCACTCTTATCTAACCATAACTTACTTATACTACTACACTACTGCAAATTTAACAACCTATCTATCTGCACAAAAATCAAAACTTCACAGATTGATACTAATATCTTTTTTCAATCTAACTACAACTTTTCTCCTAACAATTCTTCAACTTTAAATTCTCTTCAGCCAGATCAGGAAATACAAGCTCACCTACTTAGAATTCACTCACTTAATACGAATAAATTACTAGAAGATTACAAACAACTAAGCCTTATTAACAATATTTTAGAAAATCAAATTGATATATTTGGAATCTCTGAAACTCACCTTAACTTTAAGGAATCCAAATTCTCTACAATATCCAAAAACCTTACTGACTACCAAAATCTATGGGCACCATATGACTATAGACAAAGTGGTGTAGGAATTATAATTCACAAACGTATAGCAAAATATATAGAGAAAATTCAAATCTTCAAAAACTTCTTAATAGAAGTAGATCTATACTTCAAAAATAGTTCAATTAAACTTATCCAAATCTACTTTCCTACATAAGAGAAAAAACTCTTCCACAAAGAAATTCTAACATACCTCACTCTAGAGTTAATACCTGAATTCGGATTTAATACCTTAAATCCGAATATAATTATTAAATCCGAATTTAATAATTAAATCTGAATTTAATCATTAAATCCGAATATAATCATTAAATCTGAATATAATCATTAAATCTGAATTTAATCAATTAAATCCAGATATAATTATTAAACTGAATATAATTATTAAATCCAGATTTAATGATTAAATTCAGATTTAATGATTAAATTTGGATTTAATAATTAAATTTGGATTTAATAATTAAATTTGGATTTAATAATTATATCCAGATTTAAGGGGTTAAATCTGAATTTAGGTATTAACTCTACCTCACTCCAATCCTCTAATCTTCCTAACACAAAATCATAATTATGGATGACTTAAATAGCACTCCAAATCCCAAAATTGATAGACTACCACAAAAAAAATACAATGTCCTAGAAAACCAACTCATCAAAAACCTTAAACATCACAACTTCAAAGATACATTCTGACTCTTTCACCTCTCTGCCACAAAATTCACATATACTCACAATGATAGTGCAAGTAAAATTGACCAAATTTGGACTAATATCCATATTACCCTTCTTGACTATGCAGATATTCTTCCAAACCTATTCTCTACTTCAAACCACTCAATCATTTTATTAGAAACAACAATAATAACTAACAAAATTATACATATAGAACTCTATACATGCATCTTATTTAAATGGAACTCAGCACAAACTGCTCACATTGAAAAATACCAACAATACACAGAACAAAACCTCTATAAACTCTTAAATCCCATCTCTAAAATAACAAACAATGAAGACTTAAATAATATATAGAAACAAATTGAAAAAACAATCAACAAAGCAGCTTTCAAATACATCTCCTTCAAAAAAATCAAACCCAACCTAAACCCTTATGAACAACCAAAACTCTCTCTATCTCCTCTCTTCAATTAACTTAAAAATATTACCTCTATCAAGAAAACCTTCCTTTCTAATACAGACATTTCAACATCCTACAACCTCTATACA